CATTTTTACTTTCTTCTGTGATTTTATCAGTTTTTTTAAAAACCCAATTCATTCTGATTTTTTGGCTGTTTTCTGTTTTTTATTGTTATAGATACTACTACAGTGACCATCCTTGTAACACATAGTCTTTATGAACATGATTGATATCTTCCTTAAGATAAATTATAACTTGTGGAATTTCTGAGCATGCATATTTTGAAAGTCTTTTCACAGACTGCCAATTGACATCTAAAGAGAATATACCCATTTATTTTCCTACCAGCAGAGTGTGGAAGTGTCCACTTTTCCGTACCCTCACCACTGTTAAGATGTTCTGCATCTCTTAACAGAGTGGTAGATAAAGCTCTTTTTGTTTTTCATCTTGTCACAAATTTTCCCTGTAGCCAAGAATGTGAAATATATAGGGAAAATTAAACTAAAAAATGGCATTGTTTCCAGAAATGAAGTAAGGACCCAGTGAGGTCAATCACTACCTCCACCATCCTCTTTGTTTATTCCTTATTATATAGCTAGAGCTGATAATGATTCTCTTGTTCCTAAGAACCTCACAGAAAGGAAAAAGAAGTCAGCTCAAGAGCGCTGTCAGGCTCAGGAGGAGATAGATGAAATTCGCAAGTCATACCAGGAGGAATTAGACAAACTTCGACAGCTTTTGAAAAAGGCTCGGGTGTCCACAGACCAAGCAGCTGCAGAGCAGGTAATGGGAAAAACTGAGCACTTTGGAAATAAAAGGATGGTGAAGGCATGAGGGACTCAGGAAATCTTCTAGTTTCTTCCTTATCCCTTACGATAACATTTCTCATAATTGATGCTCTCACTTTGGAGAAAGATGGAACAATGCAATCCAAATATACGCAGAAAAGCCAGGAATCAAATGATAAATCTTCTTTCCTTTTTTAAAACTTAGTCAAAATTTAACTATGTAAGTAAAACTTGAAAAAAAAAAAGTCATTATTAAAAAATCCCCAACACAATAAGGCCAAAGCCCTTGATCACCAGACACCATCTTTCAGACATATTATCACCCTTGAAAAGAAGGGATTTACTTAAGTAATCAGACAGCATACCAAGGATAATGGCAGGACACAGCTGGTCCTGTAGTCCATTTTGCAGGAATCTTTCTCCTTGTAAGCTCATAAATTCATATTTGTATATCTATTTGGAGTGAATTGGTGCCTAATTTGATCACCTCGGAAATTTGACAAAAATTTCTTCTGAACCTGTTAAGTTCAGGGCCTGGACTCTGAAAAGTATGATTACATTACGGCCCTGCCCTCTAGGAACCTGTCTAGTCAGTCATACCTTTATGTGGTTGGAGTATGTTTTAGAGTCCTGACAACCAATAACAGCTTCCTACCTACCTTAAAAAA